AGTAGAGAGCTGGATATTCTAGTGTGGAGTTTAGAGAATTGGGGTTAGAAATATAAATATGGTTGTATAAAACATGAGACTAGATGAGATTAAAAAGGGGTTGGGGGAGCCCTGGCTGGTATGGCTCAGTTGGAGCATCGTCTGGTTGGGCCACATACCTAGGCTGCAGGTCCTGTCCCTGGTCCACTGTGGGTCCTCGGTCTGGGTGAGTGTAGAGCCAACCAACTGATACTTCTCTTTAACATGGATGTTTTTCTCTCTCTCTCCCTCTCTCTCTCCCCCTGTCTCTCTCTCTTAAAAAAAAAGAAAGCAAATGAAGAAAAGGTGGGTGGGGAAACAAGTGTGGACAGAAAAGTTCAGGGATAAATCCTGGGACACTGCAACATTAAGGAATCAGGGAGAGAGGAAGAACCCCTGTCTTAGTTTTGGCAGTTAAGACAACACAGCCTAGACTGGGTAGCTAAACAACAAATTTATTTTTTCACAGTTTCAGAGGCTGGGAAGCCCAAGATCAATGTGCTGGCAGATTGGGTCCTTGTGGAGTCTATATGAAGGTTTGTAGACTGCCACCTCTCCATGTATCCTCATGTGTCATGGAGAGACAATTCTAGTCTCCTACTTTTTAAAAAAACATATTTTATTGATTATGCTATTACAGTTATCCCATTCCCCCCTTCATTCCTCTCCACCCTGCACACACTCTTCCACCCACAATCCCCCCTTTAGTTCATTTCCATGTGTCAGAAGTTCTTTAGATTCTATATTTCCCACACTATTCTTGCCCTCCCACTTTCTATTTTCTACCTACCATCTATGCTACTTATTCTCTGTACCTTTTCCTGCTCTCTCTTCCCCCCACTCTACTGTTGCTAACTCTCCAAGTGATCTCCATTTCTGTGGTTCTGTTCCTGTTCTAGATGTTTGCTTAGTTTGTTTTTCTCTTTATTTTAGGTGTGGTTGTTAATAATTGTGAGTTTGCTGTCATGTTTTACTGTACATGTTTTTATCCTCTCTTAGATGAGTCCCTTTAACATCTTATAAACTAGAGGCTTGGTGATGATGAACTCCTTTAACTTGACTTTATCTGAGAAGCACTTTATCTGCTCTTCCATTCAAATGAAAGCTTTGCTGGATAGAGCAATCTTGGATGTAGGTCCTTGTCTTTCTTGACTTGGAATACTTCTTTCCAGCCCCTTCTTGCCTGTAAGGTCTCTTGAGAAATCAGCTGACAGTCTGATGGGAACTCCTTTGTAGGTTACTGTCTCTTTATCTCTTGCTGCTTCTAGAATTCTCTCCTTCATTTTTATCTTGGCTAATGTAATTATGATGTGCCTTGGTGTGTTCCTCTTTTGGTTTAACTTTTTTGGGACTCTGAGCTTCAGGGACTTCCTGGAAGTCTATTTCCTTTGTCAGATTGGGGAAGTTCTCCTTATTATTTGTTCAAATAAGTTTTCCAGTTGTTGCTCTTCCTCTTCCCCTTCTGATACCCTTATAATTTGGATGTTGGGACACTGAAAGATATCCTGGAGGCTCCTAAGCTTCTCCTCATTATTTTTCTGAATTCTTGTTTCTTCATTCTTTTCCATTTGGTTGCTTCTTTCTTCCTTCTTGTCCATGCCAGTGATTAAATCCCAGTTTTCTGTCCATCACTATTGGTTCCCTAGGCATTTTCCATCATTTCACTTAGTGTATAGTCTTCACTTTTTCATGTAATTTGCAACAAAATTCTGCCAATTCTGTGAGCATCCGGATCACCAATGCTTTGATAGGTTGACTATCTCTTTGTCACTTAGTTGTATTATTTCTGGAGCTTTGATCTGTTCTTCCATTTTGGCCATTGTTTTTTCTCTTATCACACCTTTTATGTATGAGGGGCAGAGCCTTAGATTTTCATCATGGCGGGGCAATCCGGTTACTGGATTGTGATACTGTATGTGGGGGCGGGGTCCCAGAGAAAAAAGTGCTGTGCTCCCTCCACTGTTCTTTGGATTCCAGTCCCCTCCACTTCCTCCCCCAGGTAAACTGGACCCCTCTGGCCCTGATTCCCATGTGGGTGGGCCTGCACACATTCTGGGATCCTGTGGATCTCTCCCACGAACTCTCCTGTGAGTCTGGGAGTCTCTTCTGTGTCTCAGCCCCCAGAGATGTTTTCAATTGATGTTTTCAGACTTTATTTTATGGCACTGGGACCCTGGGTTGCATGGTCTGCCTCACTCCCCAACTTCACCTGCTTTATCTGCATACGAATGTGGGACTGCCCAGTCAGCCAGCTGCCTTGTGCGCTTTGTTTCACAATTGCCACCTCATTGGACTTGCCCATTGCTACCCCACAACCAGGGTCTGCCCGCTGCTGTCTTGCCCACCTGGGGTGCCTTGAGCACCCAGTGCCTCCGCTTTTTGTGTTGCGAACCCTCTCTACCCGGATGTCATATCTAAAAAACATCAAAAAAATTATTATATCAGAAACATTTATGTAATACCTAAAACATATAGAAGAGTGTGTGTAAGCTCTGAAACATAGCGGACACCCACAAAACCACCATCCACACCAAAGCAAGACCACCGCCAATGGTATCTGACTCCATGCTCCTCCTCCTTCTACCCGCTTGCCTCTCAGAATTTTGTGATTATCATTTCTTTGTAAAGTTATCCCCTTCCGTATACTATGTTGCATTCATTAACTGGTAGATTAGGGATAACCTCACCTCTGCTTCTCACCTGGCCTCCTGCAGGTAGACAACTTTGGTCAGACAGTATCATGAAATCCTCCTTTTACATTTAACCTGCCTCACTAAACATCTGTGTTTCACCTTCCATCTCCAACTGGCCACTGATTCCCCGGAAATAGCCATTCTTTCACACGAAGATCATTACTATCCACTCCTGCCTGTTTCATTTACTCTGTATGAAAGCAGGAAGAGACCAGCACACCTTCTTCCCTCATGCACACACTGCACAGTCCCCAGTGGCCTTTTTCTCCTGGAAGATACACCTGCAGCCCTCAAACCTCTAGTCTCCCCCCCCCCGTCCTATGCCCACTCTGCTGAACAGGTACCTACACCAGTGCTTGGTGACCCCTCCAGAGAAGGCTCTGGAAGGCAACTGATTAGATTTCTTTCATCCTCAAATCACCTGTGGGCTAGTGGCCATACCCAGATCATATAGAATTCTACAGCTGTGCAATGACCTCCAAGAGTCTGACAAATGCCAACTGTGCCCCTTACAAATGGATGACGGTAGCCTCTGCATACATAAACCAAATCCCCAGCTTCCCCTGACCCTTGTTCACTGATGCTTGATATTGCTTTAGGGAGAGACAATGGCTTTCATCTCACAACTAGAGAAACCATTGAAGGTCCTGGATCAAGTCTTTGATTTAGACTAGTGCACAACAACACTGTATAAATGGATTGAAGGATTGGATGGTAAAATGGGCACCTTAAAAACACTTTATCTGGGTGGCTCATTGAGTAGGAGTGTCGTTCTGTACACACCAAAAAGGTTGCGAGCTCCAGTTCAGGGCACATATACATAGGTTGTGGGTTGGATCCCCAGTAAGTGCATCTTTGAGAAGCAACCAAAAGATGTTTCTCTCTCACACAGATGCTTCATTCTCTCTCTCACCTCCCCTGTATAAAATCAATAAACATATCCTCAGGAGAGGATTTTTTTTAGTGAGTGTAAAGTGACAAAGGATGTACCAGAGAAGGATGGGGACATACTCGAGAGCTTAAAAAAGCAAAATCTTAAAATCATTAGACCTGGAGTCCTATTTGGCCCTACTGCCCACTGTTCGTCCACAGGAAAGTTACTCCAAGTTACTGTTTCTTATTTCTAAAACGAAGGTAAATATCTATCTCCCTCCAGAATTACTGGGAGACTTTGATGCCATCCTTCATGGTAAATATCTTCCTCCTTTCTCTGTTGCTTCAGGCATCTGGAGCTCTATTCCTAACCACAGTATCGCCATCCTCTTTCTTAGCGTTTTAGATCATGTGAGTGAGGAATCTAGAACCACCAAATGTGGGTTCAAAACTAGCTCTAACATTTGCTGTGATCTTGGGCAAGTCACTTTACCACTCTTCCGTTTCCTCATGTCTCAATGAAGACAGTAATACATCTCGCCTCAGGGGTGGTCGTTAAGGGTTAAACGAGTTAATAGGTGTCATGTATTTAGGAATTATTCTGGCGCACATACACACACACACACGGAACTTGTACTTCAAGAAATGCTCGCTACTATTATTCCTAAGGACTTTTTCTCACCTGCCCACCTTCCACAAACCAAAAGATTTTAAGCTCCTCCACTTTTGCTCTGTAATGTACAAAAGTCCACTGTAAATTCCCACACATCCTCGCAGGTTTCCTAAAGCCCCAGCACCATCTTTAAAGGGCCAGGCTACCTGGTCCTCCCACCACAAGCAAACAGCCTCAGCTCTTCCCAGCCTCTCCTAACATCGCCCTGGCAGGACTTTGGGGAAGCAGACCCTGCAGGAGGCTGTGGCCCGGGGGTGGGGTGGGGGGGGTGGGGCGTGGCGTGGCGGAGTGAGACAGGTGGGCGGGGCCGGTGGGCGGGGCTGGAGGGCTGCTCTGTGACGTTCGCCCCCGCCCCTCCGCTCTTCCGCCTCGGTTGCCAGGCAGCGCAGCCGGCGTCAGGGTTGCCAGGCGAAGGCTAAGCTCTAACAAAGCCGGCTCTCGCTCCACCTCTTCTGTCGCTCCAAGCCTAGGCCGGTACCGACCTTGCCCAAGTTCTACTGCTTTCCCTCTGCCAAGGGTGCCAGGCACCGAATCTCTCACCGTACTTCCCGCCTGAGGCCAGGCACCGGGTGTCGGCTGGTGCCAGACAGCTTATTTGGGAACGAACATCAGGTAGCAACTCCGAAAGGGAAGTGGAGGGAGGGGACAGCGGCGAGCACCCCGGGGGCTGCGTGGGTCTAAGGGAAGAGTCCTGCTCATGGGCCCACCTGGATTCTGAATCCTTGTCCACAGAACAAGAGGAGGGGATTATGGTCTTTAAGAGAAAATGACCATGGGTGATTTTGTTTCTCTGCCCATACTATATCTGCATTTTTGCACCAAGAACTACTATATGTGATTTCTTACACAGAGAACAATGATCTGAAAACATAACAAAATCTCGGATCAGAGCCCCCGACCTCACTGATTGGCCAAACCTATTCTTTTTCTTCTGTAACGTGGTTAAAGGAATACCGGGGCTGGGGGTGGGGGTGGGGGGATGGGGAGGAGACTGGGGTTGACATAAGGACCAATGAGCATGACTAGCAGTTTATAAAGAGCTATCATTGATTCATTTTCCTGTGATTTATTTTCCTAACTTTTTTTGAGCACTGACTATATTGCAGGCACCAAGGCTATAGTGAGAGTATAGTGAACAGAAACTGAGCGTTCCTGCCCTGAAGTTTACAGCCCATTGGGAGAGGCAGGTATTACTCTGAAAAATGAAGACTTGCATGCACTTATTAAGGTGCCCCCAAATTTGTATACCAGATTCCCAAATGATGGGACATGTGACACAGCTTTGGGAAGCACGGTTAACATGGCAGTCTGTAAGTGGTAGCTTTGGATTTGTGGACCATGATGTGAACCTAGGGAAAATCAAAACAGAGTCACTTGTTAAATAATGAATGTAGAACTCATAACTTCCACGAGTGGTACTAGCATGATATACAAGCAATTCTGGGAAACTTACTAACAACACTGCCAAAAGTTCTACTCAAAACATTGGGTGGGGAGACAAGGTCAGATAGGACTACTTTTGGCATTTTTGTTGTTGGCATCCAAATCTGGGTTGACTTGATCATGGGCCGACTCAAGACAGAAAAAGATCCAGACTTCTGTGAAATAAAGTTGGAGGAGCAAGATAATATGAGTAAGACAAATCATGGAGAGCTTGAAAGTCAGATAGGGCATCATTTTGATATGAAAGAAAGATGTGCAATTGCCTTATTCAGAGAGGGGCAGTATGGTACAGTGTGGAAAGAGCAATGAGGTAGACCTGAGTTCTTGATTAAACTCCAACAGAAACTGTTATCTTGTGCCAAACACTTCACTTATTTATACATCAATTCTGTCCTTTGTAAATTGAAGATACTGAACTATATTGTAAGTCAAATTAAGCCCCTTCTTTTTTAAAAAAAAAAAGAGAGAGAGAAAGGAAAGGTGTTCCTTTTTATTTTCCTGACAGATTTTTTTTTTAAAGTTCATCAGAACTGAAGTGGGGAATGGAAGAGAAGGATAAATCAAAAATGGCTATGATACATCAGACTAATGATATTGAAAGAGTAAAAGACATTTGTTTTGGATGCTTTAGTGGGAAAGGGGAACTATAGAGTAGGTACGTGGCAGGTATGACTGTGCATGGTTGAGAGTTTACAACTGGAGATTTGGGAGTCACTGCCATAAGCTCTAGTTAAATCCTAAAGCAAAACAAAACTAACAAAAGCATCTCTACCTCCAACTAGAAAATAGTAGTTTAAAGCAGCTCCAGGCTCCCACTTCAACAACTAAAAAAAATTCTAGAAAAATAATTTTTAGGAACATTGTAAAGACATCAGAGAGCTTTAGAAACAGCGAGGACTAGATTACAATTTCTAGTGTGGAGAGACCTTCCAAGGTGGGCTGAAGATCACAAGCCATTTTCTTCCCTGGGGACATTTGCCAACTTTGGATGTGGACTCAGGACTGTGTTTGACCCCTGCTGAAAGACTTTACCATGGAGTAGTCAAACACCACGGGCATGACAGGTCAGAAGTTTAAGGCATCCAAACCCTTCAGTTTGTATGCAATGTCTGACATAGTTGAAAAGGATGAGGCATGCATAGAAGAAGCAAAAAAAAGTGTGTCTAGAATAAAGAGAAAAAAAGACTTTAGGAGGAGACTCACAGGTAGATCCAACCAGTAGAGTCATTAGACACTCACCCGAAACTAACCATATAGAACATGTTCAAGAAAATCAAGGGAAGAGATGCATAAATGGACAAGCAGAATTTCAACACAGAGATTACATCTTATTAAAATTCCTGATGCTCTAGAACACAAAATACAATATCTAAAATTAGAAATTCATTGAATAGCCCTGGCCGGTGTTCTTCAGTTGTTTGGAGTGTCATCCCATAAACCAGTCAGGTCATATACCTAAGTTGTGAGTTCAGTCCCCAGCCTGGATTTATATGAGAGGAAACTGATGCTTCCCTCTCTCATTGCTATTTCTCTTTCTCCCTTCCTGTCTCTCTAAAAGCAATAGGAAATAAATATCCTTGGGTGAGGATAAAAAAAATTCATTGAACAGCTTTAACAGCAGCCTGGACAGCAGAAAATATGGTTAGGGAACTTAAAGGGAGATCTACAGAAATTATCCAAACTGACCAACAGATGGACAAACCAAACAGAGTATATGGCCTAAAATAGATATAATCAGTGTCCCAGGAGGTCAGGAGAGAGAGCATAGAATCCCAGAATGTAAGAGTAGGGTCAGTATTAGTAGAAGCAATGTCTGAGAACTTTTTCTCAGTGCATATGTCTTATGAATCTCTAAAAAGTATTCAACTATAATCAGATAGTTAAAATGATTAATATTTAGATTTAAATTACACTTTATGGTAGGAAGACATATAACATGTAAAGTACTTTTAAGGAGACATAGGCATTTCTGACTATAATAAATCAATATTCAAAGGAAATAAGATCTTCTTAAGCTAATATAAATCATAGTTATTGAAAAAGTAAGTATTTGATAAGGGGGAATTTTGGAAGTATTATCATTTAATTTAGTAACTGAAATGCTAGCTTTTCAGAAAATATAAATATTCCTTATATTCAAGTATGGTTAACATATTTTGAAAAGTGTTTTTCAGAAGATTTAAAAAAGATTTTATCTCTTCATTTCTAGAGAGGAAGAGAAGTATCAATGTCTGGTTGCTTCTCATGCGCCCCCTACTGGGGATCTGGGCCAACACCCAGGCTGTGCCTGACTGGGAACTGAACTGGTGACCCTTTGGTTCTCAGCCTCCTCTCAATCCACTGAGCTACACCAACCAGACAGAGTGTTTTCCATAAGATTTTAAAGGTTGAAGTTTTCTTTACTGAACCAATTAAATTATTTTCCATTATCATTTGTTTTTAGAAGCAGACATTGTTTATTTCTATAAACAAATAATGTCATTATGAAATCAATTAAGAATCAGATTTTTGATATTTTGCATCAGAGGCCAAAAATAAATATATACATACATGTAAAATATTACAATTCTTAAAACATACTCACCCAAGGATATGTTTATTGATTTTAGAGAGGGGGAAGAGAGAGAGAGAGGGAGAGAAACATCAGTGTGAGAAAGAAGCATCCAGCAGCTGCTTCTTATACTCACCAGAATCAGGGCTGAACCCACAAGCTAAGCGTGTGTCCTGACTGGGAATCAAACACACAAACCTTCGGTTTATGAGATGGTGCTTCACAAACTGAGCCACACTGGCCGGGGCTCAAATCATAACTTTAAAAATGAACAAAATAAATTATATTTTGATAAAAGCACAGATACCTTCTTTATTGGAAGAAAATTATGTGAAAAATAAGAGCAAATTAAATAAAAGAACTAAATGTTTGAAACACCTATTCATGCCCTGGCTGGTGTGGCTCAGTGGGTTGAGCGCCAGCCTACAAACTGAGAAAAGTTGCTGGTTCAGTTTCCTGTCCAGGGCACATGCCTGGGTGTGGGCCAGGTCTCCAGTGGGGGGGCTGCAAGAGGCAGCCAATGAATGTTTCTCTCACACATGGATATTTCTTTCCCTCTCTTTTTCTCTCCTTTCCCACTCTCTAAAAATATAATCTTCTTTAAAAAGAAACACATATTCACAAAAGATGATAACTGATAATACATTGCAATTAAAGCAATAATCAGAACTATGCTTTTAACATGATGGTTCAAGGGGAAAATCCTCTATAAGCATCTTTAATGGCAGGTGCTTTGCATAAAACCTTAAGAACGCAAACAATAATTACTGAAATCTGGAATTTTACTGACTCATCCAAACAGTATCCAAGTAGACTGTCAACTATTTGAAATTTGTGAATGGTTGTAAAATGGTTGTAAATTTTGTATCACTATAAAAATGTTTACAACTACCAATCTCTGGGGCACGCCTCTAACCTATTCTGCCATGACCACTTGTGGGAAGCTCGGCTTTAGAAATCTATACAAGGTAGAATGTATCACAAATAATGTTTGATCATACACAAGTCTCCTAGGAGGACCTGTGGCACAGTATGGACTCAAGACAAACCTTGAGGGTGTGTAGGGTTTGACTAGATGAAAAGGAAGAGGAAACCAGAATTAGCAACATCCTGAGGAAAAGAGAAAAGCATGTTGGTTAACAAAAGAAGAGAAAGTGCTGAGCTTTGAATGGATAATTTCTTGGAAAGAGGCCACAATAAACTGTGTGTTGGAAATCTGTGTAAGTGCTAGCAGAAAATTTACAGTTGAAATCATATGTATAAAATCATGGAAAACCTTGAAAATCAGGATATAATTGCCTTAAGAGAGGGCTCTCTAACCTACTAACAGTGCTGTAGAAGATCTATCTAGACACAGTGACCAGAATAGACCAGAGAATGACTGGAGACAAGAATTCCAGCTAAGAGGCTGCACAATAGGTGGCGAGGAGCTGAATCAAAGTAAAAGGACTGGAACTAGAGAAGGGAGGACATTTCAAAGGAAATATCAATGGGATTTAGTGACAGATTCAACAGAGTGAAGAGAATGGGTGGCCCTAGGGCTTTGGTGCCAAATGACTGAGGAAATGGTGACAGTGTTCAGAAACAAATTTGGGACTCAGCTGGGAGAGGGAGAATGAATTTTTGTGGAGATGCGTCCTTGAGGCAGGAGGAAGTGTGGAATGGAAGCGTAAGTGAGAGTCAGCACAGTTCTGTGGTAGATGAAGCCCTGAGAGGGTGTGAGCTCTCCAAGAAGGGCAGCGGAAAGACATAAGCTCAGAATGTTGAAGACTCAGCTTTGGGAAGATTGTGAACTCTGGGTTAGCAGGAGGAAGGAGGAAGAAAAGTCATGGTGACAGAGGAGATGAGGAAAGTAGAAAAGCAAAAATGGGGTCTACCATCAAATCAAGGAAAAGCCTCAAGAGGGACAGGACAGTCATGTTGAACAGGCTACTGACCACCTCCGGCTGTGTGTTCAAATCCTACCTCTGTCACTTGTTCGTTACATGTCATTTCAAAAGTTTTTCTCTCTCAGTTCATCGTTTGTAAAATGCTGATAATATAATCTACCTCATAAGGATATTTTAAGTGAGAATATGTATACAAAATACTTAACACTGTATCTGGCACACATCAGAAGTTAACAGATGTAATTGGTGACTTTCAAGGAAACAATAGAATGATGAGACCAGAAAAAATTGCAAGAGATTAAAGAAGAACTGAACATCGAGAAAGGACAATAAGTAGGTATGGAGACTTTGCATGGGTAGGGATTCCTTGGCCAAAAACGACGAGAGACCACAGAACAGTTGCTAGAGAGGTAATGGAGTGAAGTAGAGGTATTATTTGTCTAGCCTATGGTGAGCAAGGGTAATGATTATTAGTGTTGTCATAGAAACCTATTTCACTAGGGCTGGGCCTTTATTTCATTTACATGAGGCCATCTGAGTCTTCAGAATAGAAATCAAAGAATTGCACCACTCAAAGACCCTGTCAAAACACATGTGAACAGTTAAAGGTTGCAGCCCTTGTGAAAAGCAGTAGGACAGGTCTTCAAAAACTTACAATTAGAATTCCCATCTGATCTTACTTCTGAGTATACTACCCGAAAGAATTAAAAGCAAGACCCAAAGAGATGTTTGTATACCCATGTTCATAGCAGCAATATTCACAGTAGCGAGAAGGTTGAAATAAGCCAGATGTTCAACAACAGATGAATGTATAAACAAAATGTGGTGCATACCTACAATGCAATATTATTCAGCTCTAAAAGGAAAGGAAATGCTGACACAGGCTAGAGCATGGATGAACCCTGAGTACATTATGCTGAGTGAAATAACCCATATAGAAAAGCACAGGTATTTCACAATCCCACTACAGTTTTCCTATGTGTTTCCCTCTCCTTTCCTACTTCTTTTTGATTAACAAGTTGTTTTGTTTTGCTATGATTGTTCCTAATTCCTTTTATCTCCTTTCCTAGTTTGGTGGTGATATTACTTTCATAGTAATTACCCTTGAAATTTTACTGTGCATACTTGATTTTTTGCAAAGTCTAAAATTAATATCTTTATGCTCCTCTTCCTCCAAGTAGAAGAACATAAAGTAAAAGAGAACAGAGTACTAGTAAACTGAGGCCTCTCTAATTATTTGTCTTGGGATTTTCCAACCAGGCTGGTAGGTGGTATAATTTTTTTTTAGATTTTATTTATTTATTTTTAGAGAGAGGGGAAGGGAGGGAGAGAGGGAGAGAAACATCAGTGTGTGGTTGCCTCTTGTGCACCCCCTACTGGGGACCTGGCCTGCAACCCAGGCAGGTGTCCTGATTGGGAAACAAACCAGTGACTCTTTGATTTGCAGGGTCGTGCTCAATCCACTGAGCTGCACAAGCCAGGGTTGGTGGGTGGTATAAATTTAAACCATAGATCTAGTTTGTGGCTACAGATTTGTAGGAGACTATCTTGCCCACCCCCACCCCCAAAAGAGGTAACAGTGGAATCAGATTTCTATGTTACTTCCCCTGCCAACAGGCAGGTATTCTCAGTCCCACCCTTTCACCCTAAGGGCGTGTGAACCCTGGAGGGTCTCAGATTGGAGGGGGACAGTGGTTTGAGAGTCCTTCAGTTCAGCTGTTTCCATTTTGGGGGCCCCAGATCCGGTCTGTTCCCAACTTGCCTGGCCATTTGTCTGAGAGTTCCAAGTTCCTGGCATCCGCACTTGCCCCTCATTTTGTCATTTGCTGACCATTCTGTTTCCACTTTCCTCACTTTATTTGACCAATTGCTCCTTTCCCTCATCTTCTTGCAAATTAACAAGGCAACTTGAAAGGTATTGTTGGCTGGGATTTGTCTACATCTAGGTGTGTTTTGAGGGAGGGCTCTTCAGAATACCTAGACTCTTTCTGTACTAAATGCAGACAAAATCTTTTAACCTGTTGTTTGTGCATAGAGTATGTATGGATTTTCATATTTTGTTCCAACATGTCCTGGAACTTTTTGAGTGAAATGTATGAGTTTTCTCTTTTACAATTAGAATAGATAAGTACCTACAGATGTAAAGAGAGATGTTCATCAAATGACTACTTAATGCTTATTTTTTATTTGTAAATAAACTAATGCCAAATAATAGAGAATTCACAGAATAGATTTTGCCCCACTCTTATTTGGCCAATAAGAGTTGCATGGCATGGAAGATGTGTGTGATATGCTGTGGAGTTAATGAGCTGTTTTGTATGACCCCACTTTGATGTATACAAACAAATATTTACATTGATAACATTCTGGAAAACCATGCCTAATATTTGTGTTGATATCACTAGAAGATTTTTTTGCTTATTTCTTGTTGATCTCTAGTTTTATAATGAAAGAGTATTCTGTATGTTCTTTAATGTCAAAGGAAAGAATTATTTACAACAAAAAGCAAGGATTAGTAAAACCACATTCTACCTTCAGAGCTGTGGAACAAGAGAATGCATCTGTCTGGTGGGGTAGTGAACTCCCCACTTCTGAGAGTGTCAGAGAGGATGGGTACCCTCCTGTCCAGGGTTCCTGTTGTTTTATAATTCAAAGTTTCCCATTTTATTTATTTTTTTCTTTGCCAATAGCCCAACCAATCAATGCCTCAGATGGATAAGCAAATATGCATTCCGCCGGAGCTGCCGGAATTGCTGAAGCAATTTACCAAAGCTGCCCTTCGGACACAGCCACAGGATCTCATCCAGTGGGCTGCTGAGTACGTACTCCTTTCTCACCTCCAGCCCTGGTTTCCACTGGAGGTGGAGAGAGGGGCTGGAGCAGGGGAGGTCTTGGAAGACTGTGAGGAGGTTGTCATCACTGCACCCTGGGGGTTGGGATGGATTAGTGTAATCTTTGACGTTCAACTCTCTCATTTCTTTGATGCTTTAAACTCTATACATAAATCCATCAAACCAAGTGGAGATGAGATGCCCTTAAGCAAACCAGGCTGAGCAATAGGATGCCAGGGCAATAGGCAGAGTGTGCCAGGGCAATCAGTAAGTCAGATTATCACCTCACATCAGGATACGCACACTCCAACCACCCTGCACCCCAGCTCACTGTCCCAGGGGAAAGAAAAGTTCAGAATCCTGGAACTCGGCAGGGCTTTGCCCCATGTACAGCCTGGCCCCCATCTCTGGCATCACCACTAGATGACAGCAGTGCACCTACGGGAGGGTTGGGATCCACTCACAGGGTGAATTAATTGTGGGACTAGTCCAAGCTGGTTCACTCCTTTCATGAGACTCCTTCCTCCATTGCTGTTAAAATGACCTTAATCTCCAACCAGTGACCTTTTGTATTTTGTCATTGGGGAAATTGTTATTCTCTTTCGAGTTTCTTTGATCTGACCTGTCCACACAGTACATATTGCATTCTGGAGAAATGAGGCAAAACACAGTGATAAGGACCGGGGAGCACCTGGCCTGGCTACAAACTGTGCCCCAAATGCAGGTGCCCTCTGTCAGGAGGGACCCCCAGAGGCTGCTCAATGGAAGGAGCTTACACAATGGCTGCTGGCCAGATTGAAACAGCTTTGTAGAGAAAGCCCCTCAGCTTTGAAATCGCTTTTTAGACAAAGTGCCTCCTGGCAACTGGGGGACTTGGACTTGGGGCAGGAGTTGGGAGCTAACCAGAACTCTCAGATGCTTTTCAGGCTGTTTTCACTGTTTGATGGCCTCTGTAGTAGCATTCAAGTAGGAAAGTGGAGTAAGAGAGGCTGTTTATCTGAGCTGGTGGGTTGGGGGAAGGGAGAAGGTGAGGTTGAGGGGATGGATTGTGTGGGTGGTGGGAAAGAGGTGAGGACACCTGGAGAACACACACAATGCACTCAAGAGGAGGCTTCCAGAGGCTCTGGGACACTGTACTCATGTTCCTGGGTTGGGCCATGAAGAGGCTTTTTATAAATGGAATGAAAATAAGCCAGTGATTGCTCATGAAAAGAGACAGAGATGGGGTTGCTTTACTGTAATGAGGCCTGTTTAGTTCTGCATTCTAAATTTTATACATTATCTCTAAGCTTGAACTTCAGTGTCAATAGAGCAATTTCTTTTGGCATCTCAGGCACACTGTTTTATACGATACAGTAGTTAAAGACCTCATTTTGTTGTTCTTGTGGTGCTATTTTACACCAAGAAAAATGGCATTTCTTGGTATTGTCCTTGACATTTATGTAAGAGAACACTCCATTCTTATAGCTTGCTTGCTCCCATATTATATCGTTTGCTGTAAATTATTTTGGCTATCCATGAAGAGTTAGTTTGTAGTTCAACTGCAGAGAAAAAGCAGATCATGACCTAACAGCACTCTCCATCCATTCAAATATTGAAAAGCTCTTAGCAGATGGTTTCATGTGACCAGAGACCTGCAGCAGTTTAGAGCCTAGAACTCCACAAAGTATTTTCAAGACAAACTATATGAGGTCTGTCTGGGAAGAGTCCAGCCACTTTAATAGAATGAGAACTGTTAACGTGACATCCATGTAACCTGACAGCCAAGGAGAGTGAACTAGAATGCGCATGCGTGAACAATGATGACTTTACTGTACGAATAAGTGGGGGGTGGTAGACCTTGTTGGGTGAGCATGTGTACTGTGTGGCTGTCACATTCAAAATGAGTGAGTATAGCAATGAATCTGCATCAAATTTTGCATTAACTTTGAACATTATTCCGCGGAAGCTATTTGGATGATTCAGAAGGCCATAGTTATGGGGAACGGGTGACTTGCAGCTTCATCATGACAATGTGCCCACTCATGCATCATGCTTCATGCAGAGTTTTTTGGTGAAACATCAAATCAGCCAGGCAACTCAGCCCCACTACAGCCCAGATTTGGCACCTTGCGACTTCCAGATTTTCCCAAAACTATAATCACCTTTGAGACGGAAGAGATTTCAGACTGTCGATGAGACTCGAAAACATGACGGTGCAGCCGGTGCTGTCTGGGAAAACTGTGTGAGGTCCCAAGGTGCCTACTTTGAGGGGGACTGAGATGTCATTGTCCTGTGTACAGTGTTTTTTGTATCTTCTTCAATAAATGTCTCTATTTTCAATATTACATGGCTGGATACTTTCTGGACAGACCTTCTGTATGTAATTCCTCACAAACAAGAATTTCCTCGCATATGTGCTGTAAATGAAGAAGCTTTTTTTCTTGTAGTTATTTTGGAGCTCTGACCCGTGGAGACATTCCTCCAGTGAGAGATGGGTCTCAGCCAGTAGCCTCATCTAACTTTGCAGAGCTTACACCTGAGCTGTTGAAGATCCTGCATTCTAGGGTAAGGGTCTTACTGCAGCATTGAGCAGAAATGCGGGTACAACGTCGAGGCCACCAGGCACAGACAAAAGCCCACCACCTCCCTGAAAAGCCAGCTGGCCACTTAGGATCATCCTAAAGTTCACTAAACAATGCACTGCAAATACCTCTCCCCTGATGGAAATAGGAATGATACTGAAATGGGCAGTAAGCTGAGCTACCAGTGGGGTCACCCCAGATTTTTCTGTGGTGAGCAGAATGTCCAGGGGCTCCAAGAAATGCTAATCCCTTCTGTCCAGAAAGTGTTTTTGCAAGTGCACATCCCTTGACAGTGTCTCCCTTACTGTGATCAAGATCAAGATCACCAGATGAGGACACTCACAGTTTGGGGAGGGACATATTGCAGTTCCCTGGTTATTCCAGGTGGGGATGGAGAGAGCCTAATTTTCAGGATAATTCTGGCTCTTTTCATTGCCACATCATCCTGGGGGCTGCCTGCAGAATGGATGAGGAAAGATGGATTAGCACCATGAGACCCCGCTTTAGAACAGAGCAGTTCGGGGTGACTCAGGTCTGACTTAGCCAGAGGCTTAGCATTTCACTAGAATCAGAGGGCCTGGGAAAGGTAGTAATGCTTCACTGGGGCACCTGTGCCCTTACTGCCTTGTGGGCCAACAGCTGGCCACTTGTTCCCTTTTCCTCTTAACCACCAGAACCTTGAGCAGTGGACGTGGCAGAGATCCAAGGTAGCAGGGGCCAAGCAACATGAAGCATCCAGACATAGAGCCATGTTGTTCCTGGGGAAGGGTGAGGGGTGTGTGTGAGGTCTACCACAAGGAACTGAATGAAGTCTAGAGGCAAGAGGTTTAATGCCTAGTTCTAGTGTCACCACTAATTTTGGTCCTGAACAGTCCTCTGCCCCTTGATTTCATTTCAGGCTGCCCTGTCTGCCTTACAGGAATGACCTAGGAATGAAGCAGCAGATAATAAAAGCATCAGAAAAAATATACTATAAATGTACATTGTTCTCACAGTTCTGACATCTGAAGTTAAAATGATTAAGTTATATCTTAGCATATTCTTCATTGGCTGAATATTTCTCTACCCCTTCAAAGATAGCTGCCAATCAGAGCCCCCTTTTATCCCCTGACACCCCCATCTCTTTCTAGATTCTGGGAGAACACAGGGCCTTTCCTGGGCAGGCACTGCTCAGGGTGTGCTTTTATCCTGTCACTCATTCTCTGCCTTGTGTCTGTCTACTACCCTGCAGGTTGCTGGCAGGCTGATTATCCATGTGAATGAGCTGGGCCAGATGTGGAAGGTGCTGAGTCTCCCACCCGAGCTGTTAAATAGTGTGATAAATGTGGGCCGCTTCACGGAGGAGATTGAGTGGCTAAAGTTTTTAGCCCTTGCTTGCAGCGCTCTTGGTGTTGTAAGTTAGCTTTAATGCTTCTTGTCCTTAAGGGGAAGTCTCTCTCGCCAGGCCTGGAAGGGCAGGACATCTATGTACACTGTCAACCCTCCAGGGCTCTGCCTCTTCTTACCCACTCCTTCTCCTGTCTGAATCAGTTTCTCAGCTCATCAGTCAGAAGCCAGGGTGAGGAGGAAAGAGAAAAGGAAGCTGTCATCAGGCTCTGGGGAGAGGTTGACTAAAATGTGGCCTTTGGATTATTTATGATTTGCAATCATTGCACTTGAATTGATTTCCATCTCCACTTTACTCCCTCCATTCATGTTCCCTGAGATGACTGAGACCCAGCTGTGGAATAAGATTTGCTTATACCTGGGTTCCAGATACCTAGAAGATATACCCATGGGAGGATTTCAAAACAGAGTTGCAGCTTTATATAAAACTACTAGATAAGCATAACTGGAAAAACATCAGAGATAAGAGAGCCAGAAAGGAGAAAGGAGGCTGCGTCTAGACTTACAGTCATGAGATCATCACGGAAGCATCATAGTACGCTCATACAGATGTATGCCTTTTCCACATCCGACTGGGTTTACAGTTGGAAGAGTCATCTTACTGTTTTAAAGAAAGAGATACTTCTATAACTTAAATGAGAATTCATCAGAAACATGATTTTTTAAAAATCTCTGAAATACATACAAGTTTAAAATTTAATGGGAAAATTATCGCCTCTGCCAAAACCAAATGGTATGAAAAGGTATAGTTTGAATCGCTCAGCATATTTAATCCTGATCTTATTCTTTCTTCTCAAATATGCTTGAAATGCACATTTGAGCTTCTGGTTTCTGGGAAAATGGGTTTCCCCTGAAACTTTTCTCATATTCATTTCTGTAGAGAAGAGGAGAGGCAGGCCAGTTGTGGGGGGTTTTGGTCTCTGCTGTTCTCTATGGCAACATTATATAACAAACAAAGACTCTCCTCCAGAGAGAGGAGGGAAGTGCAGCAGAGGGCAGGTAAGTTGCCCTTCGGCATCATCACACTTCTGTGGAAATAGCCCCAGGGACTGGGAATCACAGAAGGGAAAATACAAAATGGACAGTTTCACCAAAGTTTCATAGGATCACAAATTTATACCACATTCAGAGATATCAGGAGGGCGAGGGGGGAATTATTTTTGTTTTATCTGTAGTTAATTCTGATTTTCCTGATCTACCCCACCCACAAAGAGTGAAGTAAGAAAATAAGTAGATTCAATCCAATACGAAAATTTTTGCCTGATGCAGTTACTGAAACAGCTCTAAGGTAAATTGTCCAGTCTTTCAGGTGTCTCCTCACTGCCCCTCTCTTTAGATGGCAGCTGAGAATGGGCAGTTAGTAGTCATGGGATGTAAAGTTCAGCACAGGGAATAGAGTCAAGAATATTGTGATAACTATGCATGGTGTCAGGTAGGGTATTACACTTATCAGGGGATCACTCCCTAAGTTATACAAGTATCTAACCTCTATGTTGTACACCTGAAACTAATATAATATTGAATGTCAGCCATAATTGAAAAAAAATTTAACCAATTGACTAAAAAAATGATGGCATCTGAGTGTATTAGGATGTTAGGATGTTAGGAAAGGGGTGACTCTAGGACCTTAGAACACCCAAGTGAAGGGTTTCCCGCATCCTGTGGTCCTCTCTCATACCTGTGATCTGCCCGGAAGTACATGCTCCTCTGTTTGCAGCTTATGTCTTTGGTCTCTCTTTCCTGTGGTACAATAGTCCCCACTGGCTCATTGTCACTGGTGCTCAGGGCTCCTTGACTGTCTTCCAGATGTCCCTCCTCTGTTCCCTGGCTTCAGTGGTCACTTCACAGCCCCTCAACCACCTTGGGAGATGTCTGCATTTCCTCCTTGTCCACATACCTCACAGTGACTAAGAGTGACTTTGGAAAGCCACACTCCACCCTCCCTCTGCTGAGCCCACTGTGCAGCTGCAAGGTTTACTCTGATGTGGCCGCCTCCCAGGCTGAGGAGGGGAGGCCACAAAATGAGTTGTATCTTTCTACCTCCCTGCTCAAATGATGAGGTCAAGTTAGATATCCCATGAAGTTCTTTTGTCTCTAACATTCTGTACTTCTATCCCCCCTTCTCTGCTTCCACTGAGACACCTTCAGGCCTGGCTCTGGATGAGGATGGATCCCCTCCAATTCTGAGAGGTCCAGAGGAGGATGACTTTGCCCCTCATCCTTTGGATGTCAAAGAACACCCAGAAGTGAAGTCAGCCTGAAGGTCTAGTCTGTAAATAAAGGGTGCTGTGGGAATTCAGGAACCAATACTGTTATTCCCATGTGTGACATGTTAGAATGCTCTAGGGAACTTAAATGTGAGAGAGGTCAGGATGCTGCAAGCTACAGGACGGCTTGCATTCTAGTTAGTCCATATATCTCTAGAGGCAAGCCCACAAATCCTTCCTGTCTTTGCCAACTCACCAGCCAGCCATGATCGCTTCCCTTTCAGCACACCCTTCTTCTGGAAGAGCCTTCAGCACCTCCTGTTCCACTGAGACCAATTATATACAGAGATATATATATATATATATATATATAATTGTGTTCACTGGAAACAATAACATAATTTATTAGCAAAGAATTCACTTTCTGAGCCTTTCCCCTCTAATTTTGAAAATGAGGC